GAAAATATTTGAAATTGCCCATAACAGATTTATCTTACAATTTTTAATATAAATTAATAAGGAAATTTTAAGTTTTCGATAGTAATTATGGGTTCTCTTAGTTGTTAGAGGATCCAGGATTATATATATATATTAACATAAATAATACATCTATTGTATTCATAATAGACAAAATATTTATGATCAAGTAAACGTCGTTTTTACGAATATCGTAAGGGTGATAATCATTCCTCACACGTAATTATGCTTCCAAATTAAATTATGATTGTCACATGCCTTTAAAAATTTTGATGACTCAATCACTTAAACTGATTGACGACTTCTTCTAACAATTTAAAGATACTTAACGATTTTTATTTATTTATTCGGGTGATTAATGGTGCGTACAAAGTGTAAAAGTGTTTTAACTTTTTTTTTTTGGAAAGAGAAAAGAAAAAGGAAAGGGCTAAAGTAATGCAAACATGAATTTTTTTAATCGTATTGTATTAAATTTTTTTAAAACAAAAGTAATTGAGCACAGGATGAGGGATTGAGAACTTGAGCTGATCACATGAAAATAAAATTAGGCGGTCATTTATTCTTCTCAAAAAGGTCCTAAATCGGTATTTAGTTAATGAATTAATTATCTTTGTAATAAAATTTACAAGTTCGAGTCTGTTTTAATTTAAGATCCTATAAATTAACATAATATGAATTTCACAATGAAATATAATACTAAAATATTTTTTATATAAAATTCATTATAAATTCAAAATAATAACATAGGCAATTGGAAAGTGGGTTTGGATTTTAGAAATATGATATGTCATAACTTTTTTCATGATAATTACTCTAATACGAGAAAATATGCGCTACAAATTAAATGATTTTAATAATTAAAAAGATAATTATTATCTCTAATTTTGAGTTTGAACCTATTATTTTGAAGGAAGAGGAGAACTAAAATACAGGTATTTTACGTCAAATTAAAGGGGTGGTCTTTTTTTTTCAGTGGTACTTGACGACAGTAAAGATGAGGAAGAAAGTGATAATGTTGAGGAAGGAAGATGAGGAATAAATTATTTTTAGGGATGGGTAGTAAGGTAGTTGTCTACCATAAAAAATTTAAATTACTATATATTTTAAATATTTTTTATAATTTATTTTTACTCTCTAAAATTTTATAAGTTCATCGTCTTTTCAAGTTGTACTAAGGGTCGTTTAGATTTAGAAATGAATTTTTCACGTTGAAAATTTGTAAGAAAAAATAATTATAACGATATCAATGTAGAATAAAACAAGAGTAAGATGTGAGATTTAACGTTGTTCAGCTTTTTTATCTATATAGATGAGAGAAATAATAATTTACTATAAATGTAAAGATTATAAGTATTACAAATACATGATATTACACTCTTACATTATCCCTACAAAACTATCTATGCAACCTAAATCCTATAAATAGAGCAAATATATAAGGGCATGTGAGTAAAACTAAATATCATATGCATCTTTATTTGTATCCATTTTAACTTATTAGTGTAAAACTAAAGATCTGACTATCAGATTTGTTTAATATGTCAACCTATAAACAACTATAGTAGTTCTGACACAACAACAACAACAAAACCCTATTCCCATATGTAATGGGGTAAGGGGAGGTAGGGTAGTAGGCTGCCCCCAATGCCAGGTTGAGAGCAGCTTCCGTGGAAGACCTCCGACAGTCAGAAAATTAAAAATAAAGATAAAATGCAATGCATGTATAAAAATAAAAAATAAATACATAGTTAAATAGTCTTCATATGCAGTCTACATATGCACATCTGTAATGAGAATTAATCCATGCAATTAAATCCCTGCGTAAAAAGCTCTGCATATAGACAGAAACGTAAGATCCAACTAAAATTAAAAAGAGGAAACATGAAGAGAAGAATACACAGAAGTCAACGATAGCAAGCAACGGGAAGAAATAAGGTCAAATGGGTTAAAACCTAAACTAAGGCAACATTTCTCCAATACCCTAGTTCTTAGCCTTCATAAATTACAATGACAGAGACGCATAAAAAGTAGAAGTCATGGAAATTTCTATAAAGGTATTAAAAAAAGACAGAGATGATACACCCTAAGGATGTGACCCGTACTACTCAGCTACCCTGATCTTAAGTCTCCATACTTTCCTATCTGAGGTCATGTCCTCGGTAAGGGTTAAATCATTCAAATCAGTTTTCAAGCAGTCTTCCCACTTTCGCCTTGGTCGTCCTCTCCTTCTGGCACTGTCGACTGTAATCGACTCTACCCTCCTGATCGTATCCGACGGTTGTCACCTAAGGACATGCCCAAACCACCGTAGTCTTCCCTCCCTCAATTTTTTGGATACAGGCACAACCCCCAAGGACATCCTAATAGCAGAGTTTGGTGTCATGTCCCACATAGTCCTACCACATGCCCATCGAAGCATTCTCATTTCTGCGGCCTCCATCCTCCTTACGTGACCCTTCTTGATTGCCCAACATTCTGATCCATACAGCAGCGTTGGTCTTATTGCCATTCTATAAAATTTTCCCTTAAGTTTTAGATGCACCTTCTTGTCACACAAAACTCCGGTAGCAGCCCTCCACTTTAGCCATCCCGCCTTTATACGATGTGTAACGTCATCATCCACACCCCCATCTTTATGTATCATAGACCCTGGGTACTTGAAACAATCTTTTTGAGGGGAGAACGTGTCCTTCTATGCATACCTCTACATCTTCATCGTTTTGGTTCCCACTGACACAATTATACAAAACCACTATAAGTTCCTCTCAACTATTGGAAAATGGTGGATTCTTCTCCTTATCTTTCTTCTTAAGTATCCTAACACCTTTTCTTTTCAAGAAAATCATAAGTCAGCGATCATTCTCTAATCGGTTGTGATTATTCATCCAAATTAAAAAGGATTGACTATCAATAGTCTCTAAATTAAACTTATTTCCATCAACAATTGGTGTGATGAACGTTGATCACTTTTGATTTGAAGATAGATACCCACAATCAGAACAACCAAACTTGCTTTTCTTCTCATTTTTCTCATAATTTCGCAAATCAATCATTCTCTGAACTCGTTTATAACTAAGAGCTACACTGGAACGTCAATGGGCCAATAGACTACTAATCCTTCCTAACATTTATCAATTTATGGTAAACTACATATTTGTACCTAAATTATCAATTTTGTTTCGTTTTAATACCTAAACTTTTATTTGTTTCAAAATCGTACCTAACGTTTACTTTTTGTTTCATTTTAATATGTCGCCGTTAAAAACTTAAGGGAACTACTGCACACGTTATTTTTTATGGATAAATTACATCATTCATCACTTAACTATTTTCTTACTCTTTTTTTGGTCATTAAAGTTTAAAAGTTTTCAATTTAACTATTCAACTTTCAAATTACTCATGTTTTAATCAAAATGAAACAAACAATAAACGTTAGGCATGATTTTGAAACAAATGAAACTTTAGGTATTAAAACAACATAAAATGGATAGTTTAGATATTAAATTTGTGGTTTACCCTTAATTTATTTACTAAAGGAGAAGTTGGTGACTTTATTTTTTGGGTTGTCTTAAGTACGGCAACCTTAATATACGATTAAAGAAAAACGCTATCGAAAATATTATTATTATTTTAACATTTCCGGTAAAACGCTACCTAAAAAAATATTTTTTTCTATTGAAAATGTTAATATTGAGTGCTACCTAAAATGTTTAACATTTCCGGTAAAATGTTACCTAAAACATTATTTTCTAAAAAAATATTAATATTGGGTTTTACTGAAAATTAGTTAGCGAAAATAATATTTTTGGTAAAAATAATATTTTAAACAGTATTTTATCAAAAGTATTAAAAAATATTAATTTTTTTATAGGATCTTTTCTTAACTATATGTTAAGATTGGCGTACAGTAGAACTAACATAAAAATTTTTAATTATTGGATAAGTAAAGAATAAATGAATAACAAGAGGAAGATAACAACATGGTTTTTAGAACCGGACCGGTTAGCGAACCAGCCATGCTATCGGTTTATTGGTTCAATCGGTCGAATCGGTCCGACCGGTCGGAAGAACCGGACGACATCATAATTATTTAAAAAATTAAATAAAATACCAAAAATATTTAATAAAAAATAATTTTTTATATCACAAGTCATATTCAAAGCAAGTCATAACATATATAAGTTAAAAACTATAAAATCAAGTGAAACAAAATGATTTAAATTAACTACAACCTAATATTTAAGGTAAAACATATTAAATAATAAATATAATTATATAATTATAATTAAAAAATAAATTTGGGGCTAAACAAATCATAACAAAATGATATTGTTTAGTTTAATTTTTTTAAAAACAATTCCACATGACTAAGAAACATAGAAAAACATCCCAAAAGTCTAAAGAGTAAAAATATGAAAACAAAACAATCCCACATGGCTAAGAAACATAGAAGAGCATCTTAACTAACTTCTATAAATAATAGAGGTAATTTGGCATTCAAAATCATGGAACATTTGGTGAGCATTGAGTGAACTATTTTTTCACTTCATCAAGCTCGAATTTTAGGCTTCAATCGAGCTTCTAATTTTTTTTAGTTCAAGCCTTTTTGAGTTCTAGTTGAACTTGATAATTTTTAGCTCGTCAGTTTGAGTCGAGTTGAGCTTACTTTTAAAGTTTTTAAGTTCGAGTCGAGCTTAGTAATACTCGAGTTCGACTTGGCTCGTTTAACAAACGACGTCGTTTGGTTGAATTTATTTTTAAAAAATAAAAAATAAAATTGACGATTTTTCTCAGTTTTTTTCGGTTTTCAGTCGATCCGATTCGAATAGTTCAACAATTCTGGCCGGTTCATTACTAGCGGTTCAACCGATATAGAATGAACCGGACTAAGTAGCGTTTCCGGTTAAACCAGTTGAACCGGCCGATCCGGTCCGGTCCAGTTTTCAAAACACCGGATAACAATGATTATTGATGATTCCAATTTCCAACATCCAACTAACCTTCTGAGAAGCAGATCAGAGAGGAAACAAGAAGGGTAAAGTGAAGATGGGAGCAGAGCAGGCACTGAAGAGAATTCCACGCATTAAGTTCCCTCAAAGACACCCCAAATCCCCTTCTTCAGGTTATTCTTTGGGTTTCATCATCTCATCTACGCCTTTTACTGAGTTGAAAAATTGAGTTGCTTACCATTCTACAATTTGTGCTCTGAAATCAGCCTCTGGGTTTCCTTTATCTACCTTAAAAGATCTGGCCTTGGGAAGTTTCTTGAGCGTTTAATTGAATTCACTAAATTTTGTTTCAATTCTTTACCTTTTCTTCCACGTTTCGTCTGTTGCAAATGGTCCACTGTGAACTGCAGATGCTTGATTTAGAATATACTGATTTCGTATTCCTTCATTGAGAGTTGCCATTTTTGTTATCTGAGCATTTCATATGGATATTTGCTAAGAACACTCACCGTTGGTTTTAATGAAATCTAGGCAAGTGGGATGGATTTGATTAAATTCCAACACGCACCGGTCTTGCCTGAAAAAGAAAATAGAATACCAAATTAGATTTCACCATGAAAGTCGAAAGATTCGAACCCCAAATCCGAAACGATAGCATGTGTTGGAAACCAAATAGCTGGAGGATGCAAAGCATATACATGTTGAACACAAGCAACCTACCAAATTTTGCTGTGATATAATTACATGTAGTATTGTAACATTGCTGATGTAGTTCTAGTCTGTTCTTTTCCTTAGGATGATTAAGGATGGATCGTTTCGAGAAGTTAGTGATATCAGAAAATAAGAGTGATTTATGTATTAGATATCATTGATTATCAATTTGTTATGTTAAGGAGTTTCAGACCAAGGATTACATAATCTGAATACAGGCCTTTAGTTGAATGAACTAATTCTTGTACTAAGTCTTAAACTCTTAACTAGAGAAGGCAGACGGGTGGATCGGGTTCGGTTCTAGTCGGTTTTAAGTTGTTTCAGATTTGAAAATTTTCCTCTTTTAGGTTTGGGCTATGTTTGTATTTTGGCTTGTTAGATTCTTTTTTAAAAATTTTGGGAAGATGTAACCATTTTAGCATATTCCAAATCACTTTTAAAGTTTGTTGTGTTGTATAGGATCTATTGCTGAAAATCAAGCACCAAGCAAACATGCAGACATCGTCGATGGCTTGATTGCAAGGTCAAGTTCAGACGTTCCTGCTCCGCCTATCAACACTGCCGTGGGAGGAAAAGCATCTCTTCTGCCGAAACGTACTCCTGTCTCTGAGAGGGAGATCGAGGCTATTATGGTAAGTAATATGATCTCCTTAAAAGCCTATCATCACCGTAAACACAGTCGCAGATTCTTGCTTCATTATAGCGTAGCTAATCCTTTAGAGTTAAATCCTACAAACCCGGAACATAATTTAGTTGTGTTATGCTATCTTTCTTAAGAGGTATGTATCGTCTAGCAAGTTTGAGATTAAAACCTCAGCATTTCCCTTATTCTTGAACTGCAACCTTTTTAACAACACAAATAAGTAAAATAAACACCCAGAGCTGATTCTAACATGTACTTCATTTCACCACCTTTCAGTTAGGGGGCTGCTTCTGAGTTTTCAGCCGACAATGCTAGCTTTTCAGAAGCTCAGAATAAAAACTTCTTGTCTGTTACTTTTCTCCGGTGTGACGGGATATTAGTTTTCAGAATGTAAGTAAATAATATGTAGAAGAATTGTTTGCTAAAGTTGGAAAAGATCAAAACATCAAAATTGATCTTTAAAAACCGTTATGGGTGATGAAACTTCATTCTCGACGAAATAATATGTTGCAGCTCGTTTTCTGTTTCAGCTGTTTTGTTTTCTCACTATCCCTATTCAGCCAATATATATACTGCTGTAAACACAGAAGACATAACATCCCCAAACCAGTAGCAGCAGCCATGGACGATGTTATTGGTTTCGCAAACCCTGTGACAAGTCCTCTGGTCGAGCTACCAAACCTCCTGGAATCCTCAACCTCAAACTAAACTGTCCAGGCCCTTTGTGCAGAAAAAGCAGTTACTCGGTATACTCTGTTATTAGATTGATCTCCCCTTTCAGCACATTGTCACAAACAATAACAATCAAGATTGCCTATGTACTGCCTTTGGCCAAGATTACCTATGTTGTTTGATAGGCTTTCTACCTGCTAATTCCACCTAAAAAGTCATTACAACTTTCCATCTCATCCACTATAGTCCAAGAATATTTTATAAATATATACACGATTTTCATTTTACACTTGAAAATCATTGAATTAATCACACATCAAATAATATTTAAATTTCAAAATTTCCAGGAAGAACCTAGTTTTACACTATTGTTTCTGTTACTGCAGACTGATGTTCTACTGAGGAATCAAGTCCACTTATTTGCCAGATTAATGGGCGTAATCTTTATTTGCTTATAACAAAGTGTACGTATGGGGTTTAATCAAAATTTTAAATGTAGAAATTCAAAAAGAACAGGTCAATGTCTCTCCTCATGTATAGTTTTCAAAATTGTGGTTAGCTAAGGGAGGGAGAGGGGAGTTAAAAGGTTGAAGAATAAATGGAGATTTAATGATGATTAAGAAAAAACTTATTAACATGTTTTAATTTTATATGTTGGTTCATATTCTACGTAACGAGAAGGGTTTATAAAATAATTTCTCCTAAACAACACGCCATCTAAAATCCTATCAATGAGTATATTCAATCTAAAATCTCAACCGATTATTAAGAATTTCGTGTTTATTCAAGGAGTGCATGACACGTTAAATATCTAGAAAATAGGGAAAACTACACGGGAAACCACTAAACTATGATAAAAATCAATGTGACAACTGAACTTTCAATTGAATCAATCATACCACCCAACTATTTAATCGATTCAATCAAACCACCGGCCGTTAATTTTTAGCAGAGGTGGTGACGTGTCCGTTAATAAAATTGGCATAATTATATATTTGGTCCTTAATATTTACATATTCTTTCAATTTAGTCACTATTTTAATTCAATTAAATAAATTTAACTATCCAATTAGAACATGACACGTGTCAATACATGATTGAAAGATTTTATTTATGAATTCTAAATTATTTAATTAAATAATTTTTCTATCCAATCAGGTGGTGACACGTGTCACCACCAATTGAAATGAAAATAAAGGGTGCTCAAGGAGAATCGAATCAGAGTATGGGGGATAAAGCAACAGACGCCCAAACCATTGTGCTAAAGGTCTCAAATAGTTTAAAGTTACAACAATTTATATTTATCTTTTAAAGGTTTGTTAAGGATAAAAAATTAAATAAATTATTTGTTTAAACAAATTATTATTTAAATTAATTGTAAACTGTTTTTTTAATTAAAAATATTAAGTTGTTATATAAATTAGAAAAATTTAATTTTTTGGTTAATTCGAAAATTGACCGAATTAACCTAAATTTGTTCAGTTCTGTTAATAATTTTCAAATAAATTTTGGTTTGATTATTGGTTAAAGAAAAAAATCGGTTAATTTGGTTCGGTTAATAATTTTCAAATAAATTTTGGTTCAATTAACCGAACCGAATTATCGATTTTTTGCTTCGATTAATTCGGTTAATAATTTAAAAAAAAATCGGTTAATAATTTTCAAATTAATTTGGTTTGGTTAATAATTTTCAAATAAATGTTGGTTCGATTAATCGAACTAAATTAACCAAATTTTTTCTTCGATTAATTCGGTTAATAATTTAAAAAAAATCGATTAATTCGGTCAGTTAATAATTTTCAAATTAATTCAGTTCAGTTAATAATTTTCAAATAAATTTTGGTTCGATTAACCGAACAGAATTAACCAAATTTTTCTTCTATTAATTTGGTTAATAATTAAAAAAAAATCGGTTAATTCAAGTTCAGTTAATAATTTTAAAATTAATTTGGTTTGATTAATACTTTTCAAATAAATTTTGGTTCGATTAGCCGAACCAAATTAATCAATTTTTTCTTTAATCATTAATCAAACCAAAATTTATTTGAAAATTAACTGGACCGAATTAACCAATTTTTTTTATTTAACCATTATTCAAACCGAAATTTATTTGAAAATTATTAACCGAACAGAACAAATTTCGGTTATTTTTTAAAAAATTTCTATTTTATACAACAATTGAATATTTTTAATTCAAAAAAATTACAATTAATTTAAATAATAAATTTTTAAACAAATAATTTGTTTACTTTTTATCATTAACAAACCTTTAAAAGATAAATACAAATTGTTGTAATTTTAAATCATTGGAGACCGCTAGCCCAATGGTTTGGGCACTTGATGTTCTATCTCCTTAAGACTCTGGTTCAATTTCCCTTGAGCAATCTTTATTTTCATTTCAATTGGTGGTGACACGTGTCACCATCTAATTAAATAGAAAAATTATTTAATTAAATAATGTAAATTCATAAATAAAACATTTCAATCATGTATTAACAGATTAACATGTGTGACCATATAATTGAATAGAAAAGTTATTTAATTATATAATTTAAAATTCATAAATAAAACCTTCTAAATGTGTCACCACCTAATTGAATAGAAAAATTATTTAATTAAATAATTTAAAATTCATAAATAAAACCTTCCAATCATGCATTGACACATGTCACGTTCTAATTGGATGATTAAATTTATTTAATTGGATTAAAATAGTACTACATTGATATAATATGTAAATATTAAGGGCCAAATATATAATTATGCCAATTTTATTAACGGACACGTCACCATCTCTGTTAAAAATTAACGGCCGGTAGTTTGATTGAATCAATTAAATAGTTGGGTGGTCTGATTGATTCAATTGAAAGTTCGGTGGTCACATTGATTTTTGACCATAGTTTAGTGGTCTCCCGTGTAGTTTACCCCTAGAAAATATAACGCAAGTCAGAAATTGTCAAAAACTTGAATCGAAGCCGCCTACTCCCCTCCCCCTACTTCAGAAGTTAACACATATAAGAAATCATTACGTACCGAATCCCTTGTTCATTGTATTGATAATTTAAATTTACCTATTTCTCAAAGGAAAGGTGTTTAAATATATACCAAGTATTCTAATCTTATACTTGGTTGTGAATATCACTTGTAACGTATTATGAGTATCCATTATCGAATAAGTCTTCATACTTTAAATAAATCAATCACCTTTAAAAACTTTTTTTTTAAATCAATTAATTTCTTTTTATCGTATCATTGTTTATAAATTAATTGTTATATTAACAAGCTTAATGATCATGTCAACACTATAATATAAATTAGACTATAACACTGACCACCCAACTATACCCCTTTCATTTTTACCATCATTTTTGAATTCTTGTCAATCAGACCATCGAACTATTTAAATGCATTCAATCAGTCCACTGACCATTAACAGTTAACGGACGTGCTGACGTGGTAGTTAATAAAATTTGGTCATACTTTTAATAAACTAAAATAAATTTAATCTTCGAATCAAATCATGTCACGTGTCAGTAGTTCCAAATATCATGACACGTGTCTCCACTCAATTGGAGGATTTAATGTATTTTAATTTAATAAATTCAGTTTCCACCAATCCGAGGGTGACACGTGTCACCCTTTTATTGGTGGAAATGAATTTATTAAATTAAAATACATTAAATCCTCCAATTAAGTGGAGACACGTGTCATGATATTTGGAACTACTGACACGTGACATGATTTGATTCGAAGATTAAATTTATTTTAGTTTATTAAAATTAGGACAAAATTGATAGAATATATAAGTAACAATGACAAAATGTGTAATTATACCAATTTTATTAACTGTCACGTCAGCACTTCCATTAATTGTTAACGGTCAGTGGTCTAATTGAATTCATTTAAATAGTTGGGTGGCCTGATTGATAAGAATTGAAAAATAGTGGTCAAAGTGAGAAGAGACTATAGTTGTGTGGTCACTAGTATAATTTACCCTATAAATTATCTATCGAAGGGAACAATTAATAAAATTTACGATTTCAATGATTCAATTAGATGTAAAAGAAAGACTTGATTGATTATTTTGAAAAAGGATCAAAGATTTTTATACTCTTAAGCCAAAACTAAAATGATCACCTGTGTATAAAATTATATTCAAACTCGCATTATATAGTTAATTAAGTAAAATTGACTGTAAGTATAAAAAAATATTTGTAAATTTTAGAAATCATATTTTTTTACAAAATATATTTGTAAATTTAAATTTTACATGTATTCTTTTAATAAAATATATAATATTCAACTAGTTTCACCTAATTAGTTTTCAAATTTATTATTTTTACTTTTTAAAAATATCATTATACTTTAATTATTAATATATAACATTTAATTTAAAATATTACAATTATTTAATATATTTTCATTCGTGGACATTTAATTACCACAAGACGACTGAATCGTTGTCCACATGTGAGAAATATGGTAGCAAAGGATGGTTGGAATTGAAGTCCCAAAGTAAACAAATAATAATTCATGCTTTGACAAAAATTATTGAAAATTCATCTATCAAAATCAAACACTTCCTTGAATATGCTCTGATGCCATCTTACAAAAATCCAGAACCTTTGAGCATGATTTGAGCAGAGAGTTATAGTCGGTGGTTGAACGACGATCGGTCGATAATA